AACTTTTGTCAAGTAATTAGTGCGACTAAATACATAACATTCAAAGTTAAACATCAAAGATTATAAATCAAGAACTTTAAAAATCATTTGATTTTTATACATTTAAAAAAAAAAACAAATTTGGGTTAAGTTTTTTTTTTTTTTTCGTTTAAATAATCTTCTTTTGATTATTTAGATCAGAAAAAAACTTAATATTTCAATTATACTTTTGCATTATTGGTATGATTTAGGAAATTATGGTATTAATATTTTTTGTATGATCTTTATAATGGTACAATTGTACATTACTTTACAATTATTATACTATTATTTTTTTATCGGACAAAATTATTCTTATATCATTGTCAGACCTGCGCGACCTAACTACAAAGTTGTTGATCATAAATACAATTGCACCTCGACGCTAAAACGGTAGGACCATTTTTCAAATAATTGACAATGTTGAAATCCCACTTGCTCCAATTGAACAAGTTTACACATCATAATTTTATCAATGCATAAAAACTTCTAAAGAAATTTGTAAGTTAATTTTTACTATATCATTATAACAATATCTATTGTAACTATATATTTTGAATTATTTATTATCATCCTCTATTTACAGGAATTGTAACAATTGTCATTTACAAACTCTCAAAATAATTTGTCTCAACAACGAAGGTAAATTAAAAAAATCAATGATTTTATTATTGTTGATGAAAAGTATGTATGCCACTTTATTACTCTTATTAAATTAAATAAATTAGTAGCTACAACAAAAAATAATGCATATGCATTTAATTAATTTAGAATTAGATGTCTATAATATCTTTATTTTTAAAAAAAAAATTATTCATTATAAAATTTTTTTAAAAAAGATATAATTTAAATAATTATATTATCATTATTTTCTAAAATTCAAAGATTCATTACCTTCAAATTTATTAATTTATTATATTCACTACATTGTCCATTGTCTTCTTTTTACATTATCTTGTAATTAAATATCAAAGCTATAATACCAAATATGTTATATATATTTATTTACCAAGTATTTTATACAAATATAATAAATATTAAGATTTTGTTCAATACTTTCACATAATAACCTACGACACAATCTGTCAACGCATGAAACATATAGGAAAAAAACTATCACTACAAATATCAATAGGTGCTGGTAAGCTAAAGAGTTAATAGTATAACTAACATTCCATCATATACACAACAAGGAAATCTAAAGCTTCCTATACCACATTCTCATTGCACAATGAATTCATCTGTGCTACCACCAGTAACCCAATTGCACATTACACACTACCAATTAAAAAAAAAAAAGGCATCTACTGAATATGAAGACAATGACAATGCTACCCAAAAGAGAATTAAGAAGAATTAGAGAAATTTAAACCAAAAGTTGCAAACATTTATTTTAGTGACAATATAATCAATAACTCATATATTATCTTGCATTTATATACTTTAAACTAACGATTTAAATAAGCAAATTCAATATTTATTTACCTATGCATGAACATCTCCGACGTAAATAGAATATATAAAAGACGAAATGATAAAAGAATTTGAAAATCAAATAGTTAATAAAAAACAATAATTAGTATCAAATATAATCGAAATATTACGAAAAATATTTAAAATTTTAGAATATCCAGATTAAGCATATTACAAATCACTAGTATTTTCACCCGTGCGATGCACGGAATGGAATTGTTGTAATATACTAAGAATATTTAAATCGATATATAATTATTTAAGAGTTAATTTCACCAGAGGTCGCTTATAGGATTTCTATTACCATCATTAATTATCCCTAATCTACCATAATTAAATAATTTGACCAATTATAAAGAGAGATTATTAAAAAATGCACGGGACAATTTTTTAATTAAAAAAATTTAAAAATTCATTAATAAAACATAAAGTTCTTATAGTTTTTTCTTAGAAACTATTTAATAACGCATTTTTTTAGAAATTGGTGGGCCAAACCGCCTACGGCTGTTTGCGGTGGATATATCACGAAAAAATACACAATTTCAAAAAAAACATTTGTCCAAAACGAACAACCGAGTCAAAACTTATGCATTGCCGAACTTTTTACACTTCACAGCTTTTACCCAGAATTATTGTACGAATGGAAAGTAGAAATCAATATATTTTATTGGGAAGAGAGATTTTTTAGGAATTGGACGGGAAGTTAAAATTTCAGGATTTTGTTTTTATATATAGTATAGATTAGATGTGCAAAGAGAATTGTATTACACTATTTTATAATTTTAGTATAGAATTTTTACCCAGAATTATTGTACGAATGGAAAAGTAGAAATCAATATATTTTATTGGGAAGAGAGATTTTTTAGGAATTGGGCGGAAAGTTAAAATTTCAGGATTTTGTTTTTATATATGGTATAGATTAGATGTGCAGAGAGAATTGTATTACACTATTTTATAATTTTAGAATAGAATTTTTACCCAGAATTATTGTACGAATGGGAAAGTAGAAATCAAAATATTTTATTGGGAAGAGGGATTTTTTAGGAATTGGGCGGGAAGTTAAACTTTCAGGATTTTGTTTTGTATATATAGTATAGATTAGATGTGCAAAGAGAATTGTATTACACTATTTTAGAATTTTAGAATAGAATTTTTACCTAGAATTATTGTACGAATGGGAAAGTAGAAATCAATATATTTTATTGGGAAGAGAGATTTTTTATGAATTGGGCGGGTAGTTAAAATTTCAGGATTTTGTTTTTATATATAGTATAGATTAAACGTGCAAAGAGAATTGAATTACACTATTTTAAAATTTTAGAATAAATTTTTACCCAGAATTATTGTACGAATGAGAAAGTAGAAATCAATATATTTTATTGGAAAGAGAGATTTTTTAGGAATTGGGCGGGAAGTTAAAATTTCAGGATTTTGTTTTTATATATAGTATAGATTAGATGTGCAAAGAGAATTGTATTTCACTATTTTATAATTTTAGAATAGAATTTTTACCCAGAATTATTGTACGAATGGGAAAGTAGAAATCAATATATTTTATTGGGAAGAGAGATTTTTTAGGAATTGGGCAGAAAGTTAAAATTTCTGGATTTTGTTTTTATATATAGTATAGATTATGATTTTACATGTAAAAGTAACTATTAATTTTATCATAATTGACCAAACATTGTCCCATTACTAATTCTAAATTTTAATAATTAACCAATCATTGTTGATTGGTGAATCATTAACTGGAGTAAAAGACATTTTTTGTCCTAGACTTATAGTGGCTTGGACAATTTTAGTCCTTTATAAAAAAATTTGTCATTTTATGGACAGAGTTATTGTGGCGAGGACATTTTTGGTCCTCTGTCTATATTTCTGTTAGATAACCGTATGAGAGAGGGGCAATTACGTCAATTTAGGCTATCTCTTTATTGTGAGATGGACGATTTTGGTCCCACAACCATGCCTTTACTCTGACCCTCATTTATTTGTAGTTTTGCACTACGAAATGCTTTGCCCACAACCATGCCTTTACTGCAACTTAGACTCTCCGACTCCTTCGAATTATGACCGAGAAGAAAACAAAACACACATAGATATAATAGATAGAAGGAGATAGCCTAAATTGACGTAATTACCCCTCTCTCAGACGGTTATCTAACAAAAATATAGACGGATGACCAAAAATGTCCTCGCCACAATAACTCTGTCCATAAAATGGCAAATTTTTTTATAAAGGACTAAAATTGTCCAAGCCACTATAAGTCTAGGACCAAAAATGTCTTTTACTCCATTAACTGTATACAAACCACAGTACAGAACTTATAATCTTTGAAGTTCTCGCATCGCTTTTGACAAGTAAAAATCAAAGCCCCTTTTAATTGCCTGAGAGCTTTTGAATTGTCCAAATTAAAGCCCCAAATTAAATCTGCATTCCCATTTTTGTATCCCATGCTGTAAATTAAACCTTCCCATTCCGAGCTATGGTTGTGTGATGTGGAATCGGCAAAGAGGGCAGGTTGCGTGTTTCTCAAGCCATGTAGCAATGCAGCTATGGTGAAAGGTGTGAGAACATGGCAATGGCGTAATATTCACTCCCACCGAAAACTCTTCCCAACAAATGGAACAAGATGATGATTCCTTTTCTGCACCACTCCTCCCACCCTTCTTGCTTATACCGTTGTCGTCATTGAGGCCCAGACGGGCAACTGAAACTCGTCGCGCATCTGGAACATTTGTCGGGAAAGCTCGCTGGCTATGGAGGGAGCCAATCCCGGGATCCGATCAAAAACTTGGGCCCTGAAAGACCTGAAGTTGAAATAGGACAACCCAACAACAGAATCCAACGGCAAATGAAATGAAACGCTCGAATCGGTGTTTCTCTTATAAGAATCAACAATCACACCCCGCCGCCGATCTCTCAAGAAAATCGTGCTTTTGTGTTTCAAAACAATTTCTATTGCCATCGATCTCGTATCCCTCTGTCATGATCCTAAACATGAAAGAAGGAAACAGTAAAGTGGGAAGGGGAAGTGAAGATCAGAAGAAGAAGTTTTATCAATTTCTAAGGGCTGAAAGTCAGGGGACCAACGCGACGTCATTTCGCAAATGAACCAGTTAGCCGTTAGAACTTATTCATACGACGTCGTAGGATGCTAGCAGTTGGAGACCATTTTGAATAAACACCAAGACGACGCCGTTTGAGCCTAGCGGTTGAGACAAACCCTCAGGAGGAGATGATTTGGAATTGTTGGTGTGAGCTGGACCAAACACGAAGGATCCGGAGTTTGTTAGGGATTTTTGGAAGCTTTAGATTATTTGTATTTTATTTTATCTGAATTTTGGAAGATATTTCCTATGCTTTTTGTATTAAGAATTAAAACCCTAGCTTCTACCCCAAATTCTCTCTTTTTTCTCTATCTATTCTTCTTCTATTTCTCTATCTCTGTTTCTTTTTCCTTGTTCGAATTCCAGGGTTGTGACATTTGGTATCAGAGCCCACCATGATGACTACATCTTCAGCTGCCATGGAGGAAAGGTTGAACAAACGGGAGGCCATAGTTCTGGAGAACAGCAGTGGCCTAACTGAAGTCAAGCAAGCCTTGGAGGATAACATTCAGGAGTTAAAAGCTCACATGCAGAACTGGAAGGATGAGATTATGGAGTTGTTGAGACTCAATAAGCCCTCTCCACCTACTACAGAGCCTTTTTCAGTCCAGGGACAAGTTCCAAACTTCAGTCCTGGAGAGGGAAATGCAGATCTAGGTAGGAAACCTGGAAAAGAACCAGCAGTAGAGGATCCAGCTGGGTTGCAAGAGGTCTCTGATGATGATGAAGGCCAGGGAGAGAACCAGTTTGGGCAGTTTGTGAATCCCATGAGGGCAGACAGGCCATGGATGCCAAGAAGGGTCCATTTTGATGCAAGGGGAGACTAGAACAACCAAGGGGGTGATCCACCCATGAGGTATAAACATGAGTTCCCTACTTTTGATTATGAAAATCCCAGGTTGTGGGTGGTGAGATGTGAGAGATTTTTCATGCTAGCTAGGATTCCCAGGGATGAGATTATGCATGTTTTGCGTGTGAACCTAACTGGGAAGGTGGCCTTGTGGTATGAGGGGTATCTCAATAGCTTAAGGGAAGGGTTCCAGTGGATTTTGTTCGCAAGGGCAGTGTGTAAGAGGTTCCGGGAAAGTAATGTGGATGTGATGGAAGAGTTTTCAAACTTCAAACAATGGGGTAATGTGACTGATTTTTCTGACAAATATGAGGAGTTCAAGGGTATGTTATTACAAGTTTATCCATTCTTGACAGATTAGTATTTCCTAGATAGCTTTATTGTAAGATTGAAGCAACAACTTAGGTGTTTTGTGAGAACATCTAAACATACTAATTTGGAGGATGCCATTTGGTTGGCAAGGCAGTTTGAGAAAGGCCTCAAGGTTAGTGAACTTCTGAAAAGCAACTCGCACTCTACTAAAAAAACATCCTATACTGTCCAGAAACCTCAACCAAGTACCAGAACTTTTACTTCTAGACAAAGTGAGCCAAACAAATCCCAATCCAGTCAAAACTCCACCAAAACTACTGCTTCAAACACTCATCAGAACCAGACTAGAACTCCTGAAATTCATAAATTCAGAGAACAACTCAGGGAGCAGAACAGGTGTTTTAAGTGCTTTGAACCTTAGAACCCTGGGCATAGATGTAAGGGTCCTACTTTCAATATCATAGAAGGAACTGAACCTCTAGAGAATGAGGAGGAATTCAGTGATAACCAAGCTGTGGAAACTGGGAACCAGGGGTCAACAGATGAAGAAAATGTGGAGGTCACACTGAATGCTGTTATTGGGGGTGAGGGCCTGAATACTATTAAGTTGTTAGGCAACATTGGAAATCAAGCAGTGGGTATTCTAGTAGACAGTGGCTAAAGCTCTTAATGTTACTGTGGCTAATGGAGCTGAGTTGAATTGTGATTCAGTGTGCAAGGGACTGAGATGGCAAGTTCAGAAAGAGGCTTTTGAGAGGGATCTAAGGGTCCTTAGGTTGGGGGGCTGTGATCTAGTCTTGGGGATGGATTGGATTGACTGTTATGCTCCAATTCAACTTCATACAAGGCTTCCTGGCATTTCATTCCATAAGGAGGGGAAAAGGGTGTTACTAAAAGGAATGGCTAAGGGCATTGTACTACAACAGGCCTCTAAGAAGGAAGTCAAGAGATGGAAGAAGGAAGGTGTGCAAGGATATCTATTGCAAGGCATGATCCATAGTATCAATGCTTCCGAAAGGATAGAAGCCAACTACTGAACTGACTGAAATTTTGGATGAGTTCCAGGAGTTGTTTAAGGAACCAAAAACCATACCACCCTTAAGGCAGTTTGACCATGAGATTCCTTTGATTCCAGGAGCAAAACCTGTTAACTCTAAGCCCTACAGATATTCATTTTTGCAAAAGAATGCCATAGAATGGATGGTAGAAGAAATGCTCACAGCTGTTATAATTACTCATAGCACTTCACCTTTTGCCTCACCAGTGTTGTTGGTTCCTAAGAAGGACAATACCTGGAGGTTTTGTGTGGATTATAGAGCACTGAATGGCATTACCATAAAGAACAAATTCCCAATTCCACTCATAGAGGATCTGTTTTCAGAATTAGCTAATGCCAAGGTTTTCTCTAAATTGGATTTGAGAGCAGGCTATCATCAAGTGAGAATGAAACAAGGGGAAGAATACAAAACAACTTTTAGAACACATCAAGGGCTATATGAATTCAAAGTCATGCCCTTTGCGCTTACTAATGCCCCAGCTACATTTCAAGCTCCTATGAACCATGTTTTTCAGCCATTGATTAGAAAAACTGTCCTTGTATTCTTTGATGACATTCTTGTTTACAGTCCCTCATTGGAAAGTCATTGGAAGCATCTGAGTGAGGTTTTAAGGATCATGAGGGACAACCAGTTGTTGGCTAAGCTGAGCAAGTGTTCATTTGCAAAAAGAGAAGTTGAGTACTTAAGGCATATCATATCTGAAAAGGGACTGCAGACTGATCCTGAGAAACTATCTGCAGTAAGGAATTGGCCAAAACCAGTTAACATCAAAGAGTTGAGGGGGTTCCTTGGTCTTACAGGGTATTACAGGAGGTTTATCAAGTCCTATGGCACCATAAGCAGGCCACTCACTGATATGTTAAGGAAGAATGCCTACTAATGGAGTGGAGAATCAGAAATGGCCTTTGAAGAGCTGAAACAAGCATTGTGTTCTTCTCCAGTGTTGACCTTACCTGATTTTAACAAAGGATTTGTGGTGGAAGCAGATGTTTGCCATAAAGGAATGGGGGCAGTCCTTATGCAAGAAGGAAAGCCAGTGGCTTATTATAGCAAAGGGTTTGGAACCAAACATTTAGGCTTGTCTATTTATGAGAAAGAATACTTATCTATAATCAATACCATAGATAAGTGGAGACCTTACTTGTGTGGGAAACATTTCATCATTAGGACTGACCACCAAAGCCTTAAGTTCTGGCTGGAACAAAAAATAACTACAGCTATGCAACAGAAGGGTCTCACCAAGCTGTTGGGATTGAGTTTTGAAATACAGTACAAGAAAGGGCAAGAGAATTGTGTGGCTGATGCTCTTTCCAGGAAAAGGAGTGAAGAAAAAGCTGAGTTCATGTCCATCTCAACTGTGAAACCTTTATGGATTGAGGAGGTCCTTAAAAGCTATGAAGGGGATGAGCTAGCTTCCCAAGTATTGACTGAGCAATTGATTATAGCAGAGAAAGATGCAACACTGACTGTTCAAGAAGGATTGATCAAATATAAGGGGAGAATATATATTGGCAGCACAGGTGAATTGAGGAACAAACAGTTAGGAATATATTGTAATAGATTTTGATATGCCAAATTGTATTTTAGAGTCCCCAATTTTATTTGTTTAAGTCTAGGCGTGTCATAGACCATGAAAGGAAAATTAACAATTATGAAGAAAGGAAAAATACGAAGAAGAAGATGTATGCGTATGATATGTATACAAAATAAGCCCACACGCCCAACTCAAAGAAGAAGTCATACTGATGAATCTCATACGAAGAAACGAGAAGCAAACCAAAATTCATGAAGTTATCTTGAAGATCAAGCATCTATGGAAAGAAAGTAGTACATCAAGAGGAATGCTATAATGACCAATAATCCGTACAGTCGAGATGGATGAAAGCTTTATGTATAAATTGCAAGGTCTTAGGTTTGAAACTCACTCCCTATAATTTTACAAAGAAGCCAAAAATCAGTTCCAAGAGATGAAGTAGGAACTGAGGTTTGAAAAGAAGGTTTCGAAATTAATTCAAGTAATTCGAAACTAAGAAGTAGGAGCTGAGGTTTGAAAAGAAGGTTTCGAAATTAATTCAAGTAATTCGAAACTCAAAACTAAATTCAAGTGAAGTTGGAGCAGAGGTTAGAGATTTTGCAAAGTCAATATGAAGTATGAGATGAAGTTAGAGCAGAGGTTTCAAAAGCTATATATATAGTAAGAGCTGAAGTTACAGTAAAAGCTGAAGTTGGAGAAGAAGTTTCAATCAAGGATTGAATTCTCACCATCAAAATAAGACCAAGATCATTGGCCGAAACACTTCATCAGTAGCCATACAGAGAGAATAAAATAGAGATCTGATTGGCCGAAACACTTCATCAGTAGCCATACAGAGAGAATAAAATACACAGAAGATGAAAGTCCCAGAACGCGCATGATCTACACCAGAATTATTTTCAGAAGCCTTCACGTGAAGACAAGATCTGCATCAGAAATATTTTAAGTCTCTTCACATGGACCACATGCTAAGCAACGACCAAAATATCAGAGATATCATTTTTTATATGATCATCTGAGAAAGCTACAAATCTTCTGCAAAAGGCTACAAGAATTCAAATCTGAGATTTGGAATTCAAATTTGAGATCTACAATTCAAATTTGAGATTGTCTTTTTCCAACGGACAACTTCTCAAGACCAGCTATAAAAGGATGAAGAATGAAGCAGATCAACTCACTTTCCACACTTCCAACACAAGCAACAAGCAGTACATACGAACAAGTGTTCAAAAGTGAGAAAATATTCAAGTGAGAAAAACACTCAGAGAGCTCAAAGAGAAAATATTCAAGAGTGTTAAATTCTTCATCATTGAGAGACTTGCTGCATATTGAAGATCCATTCAAGAAGTCTCAAAAGTTGGAAAGTCAGTGAAACTTGTTTTTCCACAAACAAGTGAATCAACACTGTTGGAGAACACTGGACGTGATTAGTGCGGGCTTTGTGATCAAAGCACTAGATCACGGCATACGTCGAAGACGGGGGGAAAGTAGCACGGAGTTGTGAAATCCTGGATTGTCACACGGAGCTGTGAGATCCGAAACAGCAGTGTTGGAGAACACTGGGCGTGATTGGTGTGGGTTGGTGATCAAAGCACCAGATCACGGGATAAGTCGACCGGATCGTGGAAGACGGGGGGAAAGTAGCACAGAGCTGTGAAATCCGAAGCAGCAGTGTTGGAGGCACTGGGCGTGATTAGTGTGGGCTTAGTGATCAAAGCACTAGATCACGGAAATTCATTGTATCTAGGAACCAAGAAGTGGTGGATATAGTGAATTGCTCTTGGCTGATAAGAGCAAGTGGAGTAGGAGGATTACATCACCTCGCGAACCACTATAAGTTGCCTTGTGTCATTTACTGCTTTATTCACTTACTGCTATCACGTGGATACACTTGACACAATCACACAACTCGTATTTAATTATTCCGCTGCGTACAAGACTCTAACAATCTAGTTAAGAGTCTTGATCTCTCTGTTGCCTTAGCAATTGTTGCATTCGTGAAAAAGTTTAAAAGTCTATTCACCCCCCCCCCCTCTAGACTTTTACCACACCCCTTTGGGACCAACAATTGGTATCAGAGCAAGTTGTCTATTTGGGTCAATTTGTTTCAAAGAAAGTTACCTATTTGGGTCAACCTTGTTTCTGACTGCTAGACAGATCCAATTTACCAGTGTGTGATTGGATTGTATTATTCTTTTCCCACGTGAAAATAAATAAAGATTTGGCACAGAATTTATTATTCTCACTTGATAAATTTGATGATTGGAAAGTTCGTATGCAGGTTCATTTATCGGCCTTACACGATGAAATGTGGGAAGTCATTTCTAATGGATCGATAGAAATATTGAAAGTCAACACAACATTTCTTCTATCATCCGATGCTTAACAATATGTACCAAAACCGAAACCGGAATGGCCATCAGACGATAGAAAAAGAAATAATCTTGACAACATTGCCATAGATATTCTATTCAAAACCGTTGATGATACAATATTCCCAAAAATTCGAAAATGCACAACCGCGAAGGAAATTTGGGATAATCTCATCAAGATCGGTGAAGGCGATGAACAAAAAAAAAAGATAACAAGCTCACGATAGCCATGGAGAAGTTCGAAGATTTCAAAATGCTATCAAATGAAAGCATTGTTGATATGGAAGAAAGAATGATCAAAATTCTCGGAGAGATTAATGATCTTGGCAAAGAGATTAGCCAAAAAGAAATTAATCTCAAAATCCTACGAGGCTTACCATCCGCATGGGACATGAAGGTTACGGCTATGCGAGATCACCGAGATCTAAGAACGTTGTCAATCGACAAATTTTTTAGTGATCTTAAAGCATATGAGTTCGAAATGAAGGCCAAAAATGATGAAGATTATGAAGTTCGAAATCCAGCTCTAATGGCCGAACAACCGTCAACCTCCAGGTCAGTAGATAATATTGATTTTATGACTGATGAACAGTTTGCTCTTTTTGTTAAAAAGTTCAGGAAATTCATGCGAAAAGGAGACAACAAATATTCATCACTAAGAAATCAAAATTTCTCTCGTGGAAATCAAAATGGCGCATGGAAGCCGAATGAAGAAAAAGTTGATGAAATGTACGATCTATGCTACAATTGCCGCAAACCTGGACATTTTAAAATAAATTGTCCGCATCCGATCATTAGCAAATATCAAGGCAAAAACGTTGAATCTACACCGAATAAATTCGATAACAAAGATCGAAGATTCAAACGTGACAAAAGAAAGGCGCTAATGAGCAATGAGCCGAATTAAGATGATGAGTCCGACGAATCGTCATCAAGCGATGAAAGTTCAAGTTCAGAAAATGATAGAGCACTAGTATGCAAATCAAATGAGTTGAGTGAAGATTGTCTAATGGCACTTGGAGCAGAGGAAGAAGATGCAACATCTAATTCTTTTACTTCAGTTAGTACTTCCTTTTCTCGTGAATCTATTGGCAATCTAATGCGAGATTGGCAAGAGATCTTAGCCACTCATTCTCAATTCAAGGAGCGCAATAATATTCTAATTCTTGAAAAAGAAAAGATGAATAAAAAATTGCAAAATGCTTTACTTGAAATGAGTAACTTGAAGAGTAAGAATATTTTCCTTCAAGAAGAGTGTAAAGCTAGAGAGGTTAGAGAACATAATCTAAGAGCTACCATTGCTACGTTTACTAATTCGTCCAAAATAATGGATAAAATGGTAAACATGCAAAAGCCATCAGGAGATAGAACCGGAATTGGTTATGACTCCACATGTTCTCAAACCCCTCAAAATCTGACTAATTTTGCTACTACTTTAAATAATAAAGTTCAAGTGGTAAAATTTGTTAAGAGTCAGAATAGCACAATGAAACGAGGACTTGGCTATCAACCAAATGCAAAGATGAATACTGCTAGGCCGAACCACGTTAATTACATGGCTAAGCATTCAAAATTCATTAAGAACAAAAGATATGCCAATGAGTTAAGTGCAAAGAGATTTCATAGAAAAGATGGAAGCTTTTCTAGAAACAAAGTTGGGAGATTTTATCCCACTCAAAAGGATTGGTTGTACAAACCTTGTTTTAATGATTTATATAGACCAAAACAACAATCCTCTTCCCAGGTGCCAAAGTATAAAAATAATTTTCAAAACAGGGCACCAAAAATATTTTCTAGAGTTAATTTTGATTATCAAGTCTCAAATGGTTACAAGCCACCTTATCTTAATTCAATAACATCTAAGTGGGTTTGGTTACCAAAAATCACTAACAACAAAGGACCCAAACAAGAATGGGTACCTAAAAATAATTAATCTTTTTTGTAGGATGTTTGGTACATCGATAGTGGCTGCTC